CCTGAGGAGAAGGACCTGGGGGTGCTGATTGATGAGAAGCTCAGCATGAGCCAGCAATGTGCGATCGCAGCCCAGAAGGCCAACCAGATCCTGGGCTGCCTCAGAAGAAGCGTGGCCAGCAGGTCAAGGGAGGCCATTCTGCCCCTCTATTTCACTCTCATGAGACCCCACCTGGAGTACTGCATCCAGCTCTGAAGCCTCCAACATAAGAAGAACATGAACCTGTTAGAGTGGGTCCAGAGGAGGGCCACGAGGATGATCAGAGGGCTGGAGTGCCTCTCCTATGAGGAAAGGCTGAGAGAGTTGGGGCTGTTCAGCCTGGAGAAGAGAAGGCTCCGGGGAGGTCTTACTATGGCCTTCCAGTACCTAAAGGGGGCCTACAGGAGAGCTGGGGAAGGACTTTTTACAAGGGCATGTAGTGATAGGACGGGGGGAATGGTTTTAAACTGGAAGAGGGTAGATTTAATTTAAACGTTAGGAAGAAGTTTTTCACTTTGAGGGTGGTGAGGCACTGGAACAGGTTGCCCAGAGGTGTTGAGGCCCCATCCCTGGAGGTGTTCAAGGCCAGGCTGGACGTGGCCTTGGGCAACCTGCTTTAGTGGGAGGTGTCCCTGCCAATGGCAGGACGGTTGGAACTCGATGATCTTCAATGTCCCTTCCAACCTAAACCATTCTATGATTCTATGGTTATATAACTCACATTGTAAGTTTTTAGAAAGTAATACCAGGAAGACACACAAACATCCTAACTTTGTGCATTTTGCACTACAATTTGTTTTTTCCAATCAGCTATCCTCTTTAGTTCCTTCCCCTCAAAGTTATCTCAATCAGAAGTCAGAAAGAGACAAGTTTCAATACTCCTCTGGCAACTTTCTTTTGCACAGAGTACCATAAATCCCAGTAAAGCAAATAAAACCCCAAGGAAACCAGAAAATAGTGAATGATTTTGCGAAATGAGTTGCCAGAGAACCTTAAGTCATTTCATAGCTTCCTAAACGTAGCAACCACCAAATCTGCGTTTGTGCAGAAACCACACACAACACCTGGGAGAGTTTTTTTCTACCACAATCATTTTTATAGTAATCCAATCACATTGGATAGCAGTTATTAAACACCAGCCCATTTATTGCGGGGGGAGGGAGAAAGTGTTTGACCTGACTGTTTTCAAAGTGTAAAAATAAGCTAATACTCACTCTGAAAAACATTGCTCACTCCGTGTTTCCATCCTGAATGAGGCCTGCAAGGAACACAAAACTGACGTAAAAATACACAGAACTTCATGAAATGTCTATGACCAAGAGCAAAAACAACACAAAATTTACCTTACTGCAGGGCTTTTTATGTCTCCAGGTGACTGATCTGTAATACTCTGTTGGTCTTTCATTGATCTTTAAAAACAAGCCAAAAAAAAAAACCCAAACAACTTCCTAAGCAGCAACTTACCATTTATGTGATTCAACAATATTTAAAGGAAAGAAAATCCCAAGATTTCTCTACATAAAGCGGCATGCAAACACTAACTGCTTCAATCCATTAACCCTCTTAACCTTGCCTCCCTATACCTGGAAGAGAAATACACAAGGTATTACACATTTAAGTTGAAGACATGAGGCATTTTGCACATCTGTTTTTTTTTTCACATCTTTTTTATAATCTAGGAATTGTTTTCATATGTTTTTTCATCAAGTCTTTCATCATACCTCTCAGATGTGATTGTGTCAGGAGCTGTCCTAAAAAAGCGTTTAATGACTTGTCTTCCTGTATACTCTGTCTGCATCAGTTAATTTCCATAACTAAATGATGCCAAGAGTTCCAAGTATAAAACTGCAGAAATACAAGCTCCATCAGCTAAAGACTACAATTTATTCTGCATGAAAAACAAGTGGTGATAAACCTACAATATTAGTATTTTTCAAAATAAAGTCAAAGGTGGGGGGATAGAACCAGGCTTAAGTTCCACCAGTACTTCTTAGAAAAGCATGTAATTGTTTTGCGGGTTCACATTGCCAGAATCATGAAGCAAAATAAGTATTTCCCATCACATGAGTTTCACTACGTAAGAAAATCTTGTGTTTAGCTGCAAGGAAAAAGCAATAGAGTAATTCCCTTTCCTTATTCTCTTTCTTTTCCAGATGACCCATAGCCTGAAATTAGGAAGGCACAACTAAAAGGAGCTCAATCAAGCATAAAGAAAAAAAAAAGTGAAGTATTTCTATGTTTTTATTTACAAGACTGACAGCTGTTTAAACTGAAAAACGTGCATCTAAAAGTACTTAAACGTAATGCCAAGCTATCTGATGTAAATGCCAAAATTAACAACCATAGAAAAGCCAAAACTTAAAAATAGAGAATGTGCTTGTAGTTAACTTTCTATTGAACAGCAGTTTGGAATTTAACATCCTTCCTCCTTCTTACTCTTAGTTCTACAAGTTTCAAGTTACTGTCCAAGCATGTCCCTCAGCTGTATAATGCTTAATACAAACCTTTGTTTTGTTTTCAAATTCCTTTTGTGGTTTTCGTTGACATTCACACTTTCGTTTTGCAATGCTGTAGCTCCCAGTCCTTTAGACTGTACTTGTTTTGTAGCTGCCTGTAAGAAATGGAATTGATACTTTAGAATTAAAGCCAGCACCAAGGTAATAGTTTACACTAAGATTAATGTGTACTTTCTGTTAGGACTAACAGTGCTTATTTCACAGACCCTTCAGAGGTATTACGATTAAAATAAGTAATTTCAAAACAACTGTAGCGTGTCAGGTTGAAATCCATCAAGATCTTTATCAGCTAATAACTCTGAGAAATTTTAGTTGTAGCTGCAAGTGATATTTATATGGACACACAGAAATAAGGGAACACATAGATGTGTGAAATACATTGCAGAAATTAACTAAGACTGCAAATACTATCAAAGTACTCCAAAGTCTGTTTTTTATAACTAAATTAGAAACTGAAAGCTGACAGGCCTCACAAGTTCACCTAGTTCTGCAGCGCACGGCTGGATCAAAACACTTTCAGAAGATGCATGTCTAATCAGACTTTAGGCTCACAACATAACCTTTGCTGTACGTAAACTTTTAGCTACAAACTAAGATTATTTCTCCTCCATTCCTATGGCACATGCGGGACAACCAGGTGATCAGACACAGTCAGCACGGGTTCATGAAAGGCAGGTCCTGCTTGACAAACCTGATATTTTTCTATGATGAGGTGACCTGCTTAGTGGATGAGGGAAAAGCTGTGGATACTGTTTACTTGGACTTCAGTAAAGCCTTCAACACCATTTCCCCCAGCATTCTCCTGGAGAAACTGGCTGCTCATGGGCTGGACAGGTGTACTCTTCACTGGGTAAAAAACTGGCTGAATGGCCGTGCCCAGAGAGTGGTGGAGAATGGAGTTAAACCCAGTTAGTGGCTGGTCACAAGCTGTGTTCTCTAGGGCTCAGTAATGGGGGCAGTTCTCTTTAATATCTTTACCACTGACTTGGACAAAGGGATCGAGTGCACCCTCAGTAAGTTTGCAGACAACACTAAGTTAGGTGTGAGTGTCAATCTGCTTGAGGGTAGGATGGTTCTACAGAGGGATCTTGACAGGCTGGACTAATGGGCCAAGGCCAATGGTATGAAGTTCAACAAGGCCAAGTGCCAGATCCTGCACTTAGGTGATAACAAGCCCATGCAGCGCTACAGGCTTGGGGAAGCGTGGCTAGAAAGGTGCCCAGCAGAAAAGGACCTGGGGGTGTTGGCTGACAGCCAGCTGAATATGAGCCGGTAGTGTGCCCAGGTGGCCAAGAAGGCCAATAGCATCCTGGCCTGTATCAGGAATAGTGTGGTGAGCAGGACTAGGGAAGTGATTATTCCCCTGTACTCAGCACTGGTGAGGCCCCACCTTGAGCATTGCGTTCAGTTTTGGGCCCCTCACTACAAGGAAGACTTTGAGGTGCTGAAGTGTGTCCAGAGAAGGGCAACGAAGCTGGTGAGGGGTCTGGAGAACAAGTTGTATGAAGAGCAGCTGAGGGAACTGGGGTTGTTTAGCTTGGAGAAGAGGAAGCTGAGGGGAGACCTTATGGCTCTCTACAACTACCTGAGAGGAGGTTGTAGAGAAGTGGGGGTAGACCTCTTCCCGCTAGTTACAAGTGACAGGATAAGAAGAAACGGCCTCAAGTTACACCAGGGTAGGTGTAAAAGAGAAGGCTCTGGGGAGACCTTATTGCAGCCTTTCAGTACTTTAAAGGGGGCCTACAGGAAAGATGGGGACAAACTTTTTAGCAGGGCCTGTTGCGATAGAACAAGGGGTAATGGTTTTAAACCAAAAGAGGGTAGATTTAAACTAGGTATAAGGAAGAAATTTTTTTTACAATGAGGGTGGTGGAACACTGGCACAGGTTGCCCAGAGAGGTGGTAGATACCCCATCCCTGGAAACACTCATGGTCAGGTTGGACGGGGTTCTGAGTAATCTGATCTAGTTGAAGACGTCCCTGCTTACTGCAGGGGGGTGGGACTAGATGACCTTTAAAGTTCTCTTCCAACCCAAACTATTCCATAATTATATTTCTACATATGGCACCAGAAGAAAGAGAAGAGAGATTAACAGTTAAAGCTAGACTGTTTTTCTGTAGAGAACACAGGGTACACTGCTGGGAAACAGCTATGTGTATTGCACAGAGAAGTGGGAACTCTTCACAAAGTTGTCTCCTCCATGTCCCAGAGTAACTCAGTTCAATGTAAAGATTTCAGGAGTAAGATTGGCAACACTGGTGCAGACAGTAGGATGGATGTGCAGGCAGTTGGGGGTGCAACACAGAGGACCTAGGCATGCTAGGATGGAGTTTGGGGCCTTCTCCAAAACCTCCAAACCTCCATCTCTCTCCTCTTAGATTCAAAGAAATAGCCTTGAAAACTGACAGCCGAGTGAAACCATTAAAAGGTATTCCTTGTACTATACTTTGAATGCATTTAGTATGTTCTCTAGTCTCTCTTTCTGGTAAGAAAATGAAAACCCCAGAGGAACTTCAGGTTTGTTTATTTATAATTTGCTTCTTATTACCTTTAGATGTTTGTGCTTTTGTAATTGAGTAGTTCAATATTTTTTTTATAGGAAGTAAACATAGGAGAAATTCTTTACAATCCTCCTGAAGATGAACTGCAGAAGGAATGTTGTTCTTGTAAATTTTAAATCACTTCTGAGCAAGATGGTTTATAAGAAGCTTTTTTATTTACAGGGAAACAGTAATAATAGTTTTCTATCTTCTAAATCCTCTGACATTCCTAAAGCTTCTAGCCAAATTAACAGGTCTTGATCTTTTAGCTTTAGTATGAGAAGTCATATAGATTTAAACAGAATAAACATTAAATATGTAGTTATACTATCTTCTACGGAGTCTCAGATCACAACTGCTTCTCTTAAAGAGATCTGTCATTAGTGTATGCCCAATTATGTCTTTTTCTTAACTATTTTTCTAATCAAAACAGTTGTGGAAAAAACATTCACAGAAGATATTTTAGGGTAGTCTTACTCCTACTTTCTCCTAAACATATATTCAACCTTTTTTTTTTTTAATTAATAAGATAATCTAAAGGAAAATAAAGCTTCCTTTTCATCTAATACAATAACTGAATATTGTCTAAACAACTGCCTTGAAAGTATAAATGTATTCAATCTTATCAGGTACCTCTTTTGAAATAAGTTTTAAAAATAGTTTTGACATACCTGTATTAAGAAGTTAGTTTCATTTTCTTTCATAAAAAGTTCAATGTAAGACTTGATTTTACTTGTCAAAAGATTGTAACTGAAGCTTTGGAGAAGGGGAACATATGGATCCTTGCTTTTAATTACAGTTGCCAGCTTCACCCTTAAAGGCTAAGAAAAGCACAGCTTTATACAACACAAATATATCCTGCAGTAAACTTGACATCTATGCTAAACAGGACATACACAAAACTAAACATGATTACAAAGTTTTCTGAATATGCCTATAGAGCTTCATGCTACAGTTTGAAGGGGTTCTACAGTTAACTAGGCATAATACCAGGAGTTTACTTTATGCACTCAGTAAATGGTTAGGCATACCTTTTCAGAGATCCTCATTTTCATTCCTTTTATAAATAACACTGAAAGAAGGGTTGCCAATGGAGCAAACACACCTAGATAAGGCCACTCATTACTGGGTTCTCTTTTTCATTTGCTGCCTCAAAAAGACTGCCATGGAAAGGGGTTTACAGCATTCAGGAAAAGGACTATTCAGTACAGTAGCATTAAGCGTTTACTGATAAAACTTCACATTTTGTCTACCAACCACTCTGAATCTTACAGAGACCAATCTAGCCCAGAATTAACTACTGTGTACAGGCTGCATTTTTATTTATGAATTTGTATACTATTACCACAGCCTACATTTTCCAAACATCTGAGTCCTCTAAATGAAGAGTGTATCTGAAAAACAAGTTATACCCATGCTACTGTTTACATAGAACATGTGTCCTAATATACCAGAGGAAGATAAAGGCAGCATTTTTGCATTCTTTTCTTTTTGCCTGCAGTCCTTCTTTTGCTCTTTTCTCCACTCATCAAATTGAGGTGTGTGCACTTTCTATTATTTTAAAGAAATAAGCACTCAAACTTGCATCTTTCTGAATGAGGCAGTTGACATCAAACCAGGAGGTGGCCAGACCCACATATGTTATCTTTTCCAGATAGAGGCATAATAATATCCACTCTATACTACAGATGCCAATAAGCTTTCCTTCTCTGTGATACTTCAGTATTTAAAACACTAATCAACAGAGATGACACATAGAGGGCACTACAATGGTTCAGAAAAAGTCAGCAGACTGACTATTAGGGAGTTACTATGTCTCTACCAGCATGTTTATGCTATCTTTGCTCTGAGAAAACAGCAATATCAAATTCCCAGAATCTGTACGACACCTCACTCCTCATATGAAGTGGGAAAGAGGATAACGTTCGGACTGATGCTGCCCACAGTGAAGAACAACTGGTGACAGAAGCATTTCATTTCCCCAAATCACCCGTTATTTCTATCAGTCCTCTAGCCACAACTTTCCTTTTGTATTTTCAAGTGCCACAGGTGTATAAGTGACTGCATAGGCAGTAATTAGGACGAAGCTATGCAGGTAGCATTTGATAGCTCTGGAAACCTATTCCCCTCTTCTCCTCCAAAAATTAGAGAGCTTAATGCAAGTTAAGCAAGTTACTACCTTATCTGTTTCCGAGTCTGTAAATAGCCTTTCAAGAACTTCAGCAGCCTCCTTGAAATATCCATTTTCCATATGGACTGCTACAATCTACAACAAATATAGTTACAAGATATGCTGAAATACATGTCACCTGAGATTCAGAAAAAAACAAGAGAAGTCACACTTTTACAGTTGTGTAAGACTTCTAAAGTCCAGAGCATTATACATGTAAGGGTTACCAACAATTACCTAGTTGTAACAGCTAGTTCTGAAGTAATATTAAACCTCATGTATAAAGGCCTAAAATTTCTCCATCAGGCATTTAAAAGGAGCCTTATTAATGCAAAATGTCCCATACTTACCTACTAAATATTGCTTTCATCTTTCCCTGAAAGACTCACAGTCCCAGTAGCTGTCAACATGTTTTTACACATTTCTCTTTGAAATCAAGTCTTCTAATACAAAGAATTATTTTTAAGAAAAAGAAAAAAAGCTATTCATAATATATTTTAAAGCTCAAGATACTAGTGTTTTGAAATTGATCTCTTGTATTTTTTACAGATTGTCAGCTTTTGAAAAAATTTTGAACTGGGACAAACAGGAACCAATTTAGATAGGAAAAGGTCCCCTGTACAGATCTATTTACTCTGTACTTGAAAATACAACAAACTTAGAAAATTCAGTTCAGCCTGGTAATAGCCTTAGCTTTTTGTAAAAGGTGCCCTGTTTTAGCAGAATGAATAGGCAGCATCCTGAAGCATTTTGCATAAGTCACAGACCTGAATTTGAATCAAGCAACGAATATCTTCATGAAGCTTTTCCAGTTTAACTTCTTCCCTTTCAAGTAAAGTCCAGAAAGACAGAGCAGATTCCAAAGGTGAAATTCTTGGATCATTTTCAAAATGGCATTCTTCCAGGGGGCAGGGGAGAAGACCAGAAAAAAAGATATTTTAAAAACTTAACGAATAAAGCTAAATATATTACATTATTTCACACAATCAAGTAATATGTACTATACATAATTTTAATTCCTTTTTCCTCAAATAATTTTTAGTCTCTCCCTTCATTTGTGTTTAAGAGACCTGAAGTAACTGCCTTCTTTTCAGAGAGACTGGTTCTTCCTACCCTTGCTAATAACATTACTGTTGCATTTTTAAGGGGGATTAAGTGAACAATAATTAGTAGACACATCAAATACCACTTACACTAGTGCTAAGTTGAGCATCATTGGGTTGGCATTAATAATATTCTTACATTAAGCTTGGCATCAGATATCAAAACATTTGGTATTGGTACTGTTAATGTTGTAATATAACCCCTATCCTAAGTGTTTTTTTCCCCTGAGTCTACATCTATATTTCAGCGTCTTCACTTTTTGTTATATTTGAAGGAGTTAAGCAGAGAGGGAAATTCAAACAGCTTAAAACAGGAGTGTCACTGAAAAAGCAGAAGCAACTGCTCATGTCATTGTACCACTGTGCCAGCCCCAAGGTTTGTGTAAACTCCCAGCGAGCAGGATCAGTAACCAGTTCTGGCAGAAGTCTAGCGCAGCCAAATAACCATCCCCTCAACACTCTAGAAACAGTTTCCTAGTCTGGTCATTGCACATCTGCACAAGTGACTGTGCCAACATAACAGATGCAGTAGGAGCTGGCAGGTGCACAAGACTGCTTTTTTCCTATGGCACTGCCTGCTTAGCTCAAGATGTTCACTGAACTACCACCTCACTTATTCCTTCATTTTATATGACATCATAGCAGAGTCTCTCTCAGTATCTTCTTATTCCTTACAGTAAGTATTTTTCAGACAGAAGGTAAGCAACACTGTAAATATAAAAAATATGATACCTGCTAGAGTAAAAGACAAACACTAAAAATTTAAATAGCATTATATGTACACATACACATTAAAAAAAATACACTTTTGTGTTTCTCTAATTATTGTTTCAATCAAGTAATGTGACACTTCATATTAAGTTTACTTTAATATGAAAACCAAAGTTCTTAACTCAAAGATCTGGCATTTGAAACAGCCTACTCTGTTTTAAGGCTCAGTACAGGTTAAATATTTTAATAATTGGAAAAGAATTAGAAAAGCTACCATGCAATATATTAGCTTTCCATGTCCGTTGTGCAACTACATCTGATGTAATACCTACTAAGCACACGCAGTCTTCCTCACCACACAGGTCATTCTCTACACTGATAGATAAAAACACACATTGAAGTCATCTTCCCAAGTGTTATATACAATAATATAGTTTTAAAGCATTACCAGAAGAGTTTCATAATTTGTATATGACAAACTATTTTAAATATTAGAATTTGATTCTTGATTTAGTTCAACTTGAGAAGAGTGTTATTACCTGACAAGCAACTTAAGAAATTACATTTTACAAAAATAAGGCTTTGTGGCACTGCTATGCTAGAATACACTTTTTTCTTCCATGCTTATGCTGGCAAGACTGCTTTCTGAAGTCCATAAATTCCAATGAGTTTTATCAAGCAGTGAAAACTTGCAGCAAGAAAGTTAAGTCCTCCAGAAACTTGAGCATGGAAGCAAAATCAGCTTGGCTAAACCAGTAAGTTGTGAATACAGACAAATGGGAGACATGGTAGTGAATAAGAGTCCTAAGGACCTGCTGCCAGATGAAAGTTTTACAGCCTTCTGCAAGAAACAAGGGCAGTCATCCTTTTCATCCATATTCTCATTCCTACTGTCTGTCCCACTTTGACCTCTAGAGTTACATGTGCAAAAAGAAACATATTCTGTGCTTTAATCTTGCAAATATTGCTCACTAAGAGCTAGTCGATCTTTTCCAGTATGTTTCTTTTGCTGATGCTGCTCTGGCAAAACAAGACCTGTAATTTAAGAAGCATATAGTCACTCAAACTCAAAGCAGCTAAATAAGTCAGCACAGAATAATACTAGTACTGCACACAGCTCAGTCACTTTTGGAATATAGACATGCCAAAATGTAGAGTTCAGCCATTTTATTTTATATATATATGTGTACAGTAAAAGCTATGTGAAAGCCTACCTAATACACCTCTGTGCAAGTTTATGCAAATCTATTTAAACAAGTTAAAAAAAAAAATCAGAGTATTTACCAAGGTTTTTTCCTTTTTCAATTCTTATCAAAAGCTGACAGAGATACACTGTTCTTTTCTGATGTGTAGGTATTTTGGAGAGGCCCTTAATAAGAGCTGGAAAAGAAGAGAAAAGTTAAGTCAGTCTTGCTCCAGCACTGCCACAGTGTGGCTAGAAACATACTAGACACTGTGTTACCAGACTTTAATAATCAACTACATTTCTAATACATTAGGAAACTGATGAAGCACATTCAGTTAATATTCTTCCACATTAAAAGAACTTAAATCTCCTTTAAGAATTTGACCAGAAAAACCTATCCCTCTTACAGTTCACAACAATAACCTAGAAGTGGTAAGATGCATCACAGGCTTATATTCATCAAATGAGTAGACCGTGGTATCTCACGTACATAAATGAAGTCTTGTTTTGCTCAGTAGCGTACTACTAGAGACAACTGTCTGCTCCAGAGAACATTTATGGGGAATGCCCACAAAACATGAGCCACATGCAGACTGGTAACACATGTTGCTATAGCAACTGACAGACCAAATGCAGTAAAAGCTACAAGGAGAGCTTAGTCAGAAATGCAAATCTCCTCACAAGGTTGGAAGGTCACAAGGATTATACATATTTTAGAATGGAAGCCATCATGAGATTATTTCCATCATGCTGGTTACTGTGAACTTCATCTTTTAACATGCTGGATATAGTAATTTGTCTTCACAACATAACACAGAAACATTCAAAATGAAAAGTGAAGACGTGTCAAGTGACTTGTCTAAGCTGCAGACTGAACACCCTAATTCAGGAAGTGTTTATGTACACATTTCAGTGTCAGCCTAGCAAAAGCCAGGATTCTGGAGCACAGGACCCCCCAAGTTCTCCAAGGACACAATTACAGCACATAACACATTGATTTAGTCAGAAGTACTCAGCCTATTTGCTTATTAGCAAATAATATGCTATATGATCATCTCCTACGAACAATGGATAAGCATTAAGTTACAAAGTAATTAGACAGTCCCAAATGATTACCAAAACTAACATCAAGCAGGATATTGTCATTTGGGCTTGGAAGAACACATTTACAACCGCTTCAGGGTGGACAGGTGATACAAAAGCTTTTAATTCCTACAGTCAAAATATGAAGTAGAAAAAGAACACTGCTTAGAACAGCAGTGAAGTGCCACTCATAATAATTGCAAATTCATGCATCTTCCACAGCAGATAATTTTTCAGAAAGAGTTAGTATGGGTTCAATGATAAGAGATAAGCACCATCATCATGCCCTGAAGATGGAGCCAGAGCTTGGAAATTTTGGGATTAGGCAGAATACTGTAGCTGAACAACTCAAAAAGGGGTCATCTCAGCAAGCAGCTTGATAACTTTCCGCTTTCTCTGTGCTTTTAAGGTCCACGTACAGCAGTGTTTTAATTCAGAGCAGTTGTTTTTAAAGCAAACTTCTGAGCTTGGTTTGTACAATGGAGTAGTCTTGAGAACACTGATTGAATTCCTTTAGAGCTAGTCCAAAGAAAAAGAAACCTTGAAATGTTTATTGTGTGGATACCAGGTCCTTAGCAGCAATTACTCACAAGTAAGGCAACAAACAGAAAGAGACACAGCCTTAGTCATCTTTTCTAGACCGTTTTCCCTCCCCACCCCCAAGGCAGTTTCTCCATTAATTTGTTTGTTAATAGTGCCTCAGCTTTTCTCCCTACAGCCACTCAAATGTATCTCGTCTTAGCCTTTCATTAGAAATTCTAGAAATCCAGTTCCTTGCCATGTAGATACCTACACAAGCTAGTTTGGGTATAGAGACCATAATATCCTGTCAAGGCAGGAAAAGGTAGGCAAGGCATGTAACCCTGCCACGCTGTCTTTAAATCCTTAATCCCAGGTACCCTAGCTGTTTCTACTTGGCAGTGTACTGAGCTACACAGAAATATTATTTATCTCCTAATAAAATAGTTTATCTTGTTCCCTTAGCCCTCCTACCTTTCTGCACTTGCTTCAGTTTGAACTGACCCACCTTGTTGGCAGCCCATCATTATTTCAGTAGGGTCTCATTTTGACATCTGCAAGAGTAATAGTTCTGTATTTCTATAAAAAAAAAACCCACTCACTTTTCTGATGCAACCTTATTACTGTGCTTAGCTTTTCCCATAGACTTTCACACTCTGACTTTGTAACCTTATAGCACCACTATGCCCAACTCTTTCACTGTGGCTGAACAGAGCAGGAACAAATTTCAAATTTGCTATTAGTTCCCAGTTCTACATGACCTTGCATCCTGTACAATTTATTTCATTGTTTCTACTAATACGGTCCTCAAAAGTCTTCCTGTTCTTCTCAGGAGATATTCCAATCTCCTTCTGTGTTGACAGTGTCTCTTCTTCCCACCTACATAGTACTGAAATTTCAGTACAATTCTCCCACCGAGCCATAGTCCCAAGGCCAAACACAGAGAAGCACCATTAATAATTTAATCTAGCAGCCCCCCATTCAATGTACTTTATTATGTTATCTTTAGATTTCTTATCTCTTACAATTTCTCATACTAATCTCACTAATAATTCTGCATGCCATTGTATTCCGCTCTTTGTGAAAGTTTAAACGAGGCATACTCTCGCATTTACTTGACTCAAGAACACACACACAAAAAATATCCCCCAAAGCTCTAACCTGGTATCTTCAGGAAGATTATTTCTAACAGAAAACCCATCATAAAGCCATCAAATTTATCTGGGACCTAGACATTTGCTTCCAGCTGTTAACAATCCTAACTCTTAAGTATTTCTTACATATTTTTCCATTCAAAATTTAGTCACCCCCTTTGTCTGCTAGACTACAGTTCCTTGAAATACTTCTAGTCTTCTACCATAATCCTGAATATAAACTCAAGGAACTCAGTGTATTTAAGTAATTCTGTTCTGTTTTTTAACACGTTTGCATGTCTTCACTAAATACTCTTCAACTTTTCAGTAGCCTTGAACTCTCAGCATCTGAGGCCTCAGCTTCAGTTAACTGTTGATGGTATACAGGCAACCATGGTATACATTCAAGCTTCACAGAATCAAGATGATAGATTAACACCAATGACTGTATTCACCTAATCACCTAGAAGTCCTCACCCCTGTCATGGTTTGGGCTGGGCTGGCCACTAAAACGAATGACAGATGCTCTTTTTTACTCCTCCCCTTCAGAGGAGGGAGATGCTCTCAACTTCTGCAACACAGGTCATGGCACTTCATCATGGTTTTGGTCCTTCGAGACAGAAACAAACCAGCAACCTAAAGATCAGAGGTTCCCTGACCCCTCAGTAACCACTGTTTTCTGGGAGCAGTTCCGTTTGCTTCCCTCCCTGGTCTCATTCAGCCAAAACACAAACATTCCCCAAAACTGTGACCCTACTCCAGCAGAGCTGCCATTGCACACTAAACTCAAACACGGGTGGATTAAACCAGCAAACAACAATACAGCCCCCACTGACTGTTTTATTTCCACCATATGCAAATGTTGCCGATACCATTAAATTGCCTCCGGAGACTACCCTGTATTCTAGGAAACTTCTGAAGTCCTCAAACGAGCTGAAAACCTCCTCAGCGCTAGTGACCACGACCACCAGGAGGCCACACGCGCGTATGGAACCCACTTATATAGACCAAGAAGTAACCGCAGAAGCACTGTCAACACTTTAGCACAATAAAGAGTGCGCTATAGAACGCTGCCCCTCACGCTTTGCCGGGACACTCCGCTGTCAGAGCTGTTAGAGTGCCGCAAGTGCCTGATCCCTCAGAACATCGACACCACCAGCCGCCGCCGCCGTCCCTCACCCTGCGCCACGTTCCCCCACCGCCGGAACTCCGCCGCGCTCCCCTCCCTGAAGT